ATATATGGATAGATAGATAGATAGATATATGGATAGATAGATAGATAGATAGATAGATAGATAGATAGATAGATAGATAGATAGATAGATAGATAGATATATGGATAGATAGATAGATAGATATATGGATAGATAGATAGATAGATAGATAGATCGATATATGGATATATGGATGTAGTCTACTGCTTCCTGTCACTGTTGTTCTCAGGCGGACGCCATCATGCAGGACTAATACAAACCCCTCTCAGAGGAAGTCTCTGGGGAGTCCATAATAAGCCATTAAACAGGCGCATTAGGAGTAATGAAAAGGCTCTTAGTGGTTTACCACTGCGGGCCACCTGGATTTTCTGTCTCTCTCCGTTGAAGTGGGCGGTGACTGTGAGCATGCAGCTAAAACAAAAAAAATATATATATCATAAAGGGATAAACACTTGAGATAAATACAATGACGTTTGACAGACTCTAGTCATGACAATGACGAGATAATTGTGTTGGCCAATGTTTGAGCAACTTCCATGCACTGTTGTCTGGTATAAACAGCATTTATGTACGATGTAGTGTATATTTGGGATGGATTTGGTTGATAAATATATGCAACACAAATATGAAAAAAAAACTACAATATTCTCATTGTTTTGGCTTCTATAAAGTGAAACAGTATAATGTGTACTGAAGTGGCCCATGTTGATAAAAGACCCCTATCATTGAAATAGACATCCATGAGAATAATTGGTGGTGTTGCGAGTCTCAAACTTCAAAGTCTAATCGATAAATAAAGTCTAAATTCTTTATGCCTTTATGCGGGTGGCTGGTTGTTGTTTCATTAAGTACCTTGATGATGATTTGTGTGAGGTTAATTGTTTAAATTAACATCGTATGTTCCCATTTGTTTTTTTGTTTTCCTTTAAGAATTACCTGAGTGTCCGAATAATCCAAATGTAATTTCTATGAAACTGCATGTAAATTTGAAGCAGCATGTGCTTGAGATAATGAGTGCATAATCATCGAAACACATCATTCATCTAGAGAAATGAAGCTAAACAAAGTGCACAACGAGGCAACAAGAGATTTGTATGATCTAACGCTCAGATTTAATATCAGTTCAGAATCCCCAAAAGACAGATGTCGTTTTCTGTTCTATATATTTAAAGGCTACTGTCACACTTAAATATTACTAATCAAAATCTAGCTTTTCATACGTCATGCTTATGAAAACAATAGTGCGTTCTGTTTTTATTTTCTGCTCAAAACACAAAAAGCACTGAACAATTGCAACAAACATTAAGCAAGTTCCTTTTGTATTTGATCAAACTTCTGCATCCAATGTCAATTAACCTCCAGGTATATAACCTTCAACAAAAAAGCTTCTAGCTAGGGTGTCTTTTTTTCTGTTAAGGTGCCTCGTAGAGACGAACGCTGTCCGTGGTGCTGAAATCTGCATCAAACCCGGTCCATGAAATGCTTTTCTCTCTCTGCTTTCAAAACGATTTACACAAACCTTCTCCGCGCAGACGACACATAATCTAGTCGGTAACACAGACAGTGTGCTACCTGTGATTGTGATGCAAATGTTAATGGACTCTGAGGTCCTCTGATTAGCCTGATGTGGGCTAATTTCCCCTTCTCTCAGTCCCCGGAGAGAACCAGAGAGCCTTTTCGCTGTCTCTTATTAAGTGAGGGGTGTTGATGGTGTTTTTCTGCCTCACTGGGCAGACAGACAGGAGCAGCACACGTCGGGAAACGAAGGGTTAAATAATAGATAATGTTGCACAGCTTAAAGGCATAGTTTACAGGACTTTGTTTTACCTCTTGTCAAAAAAAAAATCAAAAATCAGTTAGCAGGGTTGGTAATGTATCCCTCTCTCTGTTTCTCAAATATTCCTTTTATCTCGGCTCAATCTGCATCGTGCGTCAAACGATTCATGTTACACACCATTCTCTCTCTCTGTCTGCGACACACACACTCATTGCACACTCTTCATTACCTTGTCTCTGAAAACATTTAATGGGTGAGGTAATGATAGCCTACAATGAAAGTTATTGTAGACCTACATAATTGCAGTCAGCGCCATGGAAACATGAAACCCAGTTTACCATTCTTGGCACAGAATGATACAAAACACATTTTAGCAGCCTAGAAGATTAAAAGGCATACTGTATATGCAGTGAGGTCAGGTATTCTATTTAACACGATGTTTATTAATTGTATCTGTCGTTTGATTTTTATTGAAAAAAAAAAAAAAGCTTGAATCCAAGTTTTTTTGTTCCAGTTCTTTGTTCATCCCAGGAGAGAAAGGTCCTCCGTTATCGCTTAAATGAGGCCTTTATCATTTTGATTCGAGGAAAAAAAAATGGGGGGGTTGGGTTGGTGTCGGTGGAGGAGTGAGGGAGGGAGGCTTCGTGGAGGCGGAGAACCTTGTGCCAGCTCACCCATGTGTGTAATGTGAAAAAGGAGAGCCGGGGGTGAAATAGTGAGGAGGACAAGGAGGAGGAGGAGGGAAAAAGTGTGCGTGGGGGTGGGTACAGTGGGAAATTAATTTGAGGACAACAGTGAGATCATAATGCCCCATTTTGGATTTGACTTTCGGTCACCAAGAGAAATTAAAAACAAAGAGCTCCCTGCAGGTGAAAGATAAAAACACACACACCGATGCAGCACACAGATAAAAGAGCTTTGATTGTGTATTTCTGTAACGACAGAGACCAGGACCCTCCTGGGACGTGGCACCCTGACCCCCTGATGACTCTCAGGATGGGTGATAAACTGAGCAAATCACTTTCCTCCCCTTTGGAGGTGAAGGATAATGATGCAGTTCTTCAGACATCTACATGCTTGTTGTAGGTGTGAAGCCTTCAGTTTTTATTATTCAATTAGTTTGAGGCAACTTTAGGACAATAGGCCTATTGGGGGGGAAATCATATTTTTCACAGTGTGACAGAAGCCTTACACTAGTATGGTCCTTTAATTTATTATTTAAAAAAGAATAAACTAAAATCTTATTGTAATCTCAGTCCAAATACCTACACACTCCCGATAGGCTGTATATGTCATTTTATTGTTGTTATTGTCATGTGTACAGCAGGTCGTGAGAAGGTCTGCAGGCTGCTGGTGTCACGGCTGCTCTTTTCATCCTGCAGCAGCCTCCTTCAGACAGCACCGAGCGCAGATCAGAGCAGGGCTGCAGAGTGCTGATAACAGCCTCTGTCATTAACTCTTTCATTCAGGCTTGGTTGGGGGGGGGGGGGGGGTGGAGGTTAGCCATTTTCGTTCCCACAATTGAAAAAAAAAAAAAATGCACAAAGCAGGTGCGCGTAAAAGTGAGCTATTTATTTGCCTCATATTTTAGAAATCAACTCCTGGCGTTTAATTTAGATTGGAAAGTTGTGAGAAATGGACAGGCCTGATACAACTAGGCTCACCTCCGTGATTTAAATCATTGTGTCGCAGCTTGCTTTCATGACTTAAGGTCTGTAAATTATACAAACTGACCAAAAATAATAATAATTTTAACGCGTTGTTCCCGGTCTATATTGAAGGATGGATATCTAACTTGACAGCTGTTCTTTTTTAAAAAGTCAGTGCCTTAAACAAATATATTTTTACCTAGGACTTGAATGTGGTGCTTGTCCTTTAAATTACTGAAATACTTTCATGGCAGGCCTCTCATGTTAGCCTGATAAAAAAAAATAGACTTTTGTTCGATGCCAGTTATTTTTTCCAGCTGCTCTTATCAGGTGACAGTCTATTAAAGATACCGGGTGCAGATCGTTTAATAGGCCATGTTCTTATTTTATTCTCGAGCTCAAAAGCAAAAAGTCTGGATGTTTGCAGCAGAGCAGGTTACAGTATAATGTTGGTGTTGTAGTTCAGACAGTGTTTGTAGGCCGCAGCTTTGCATCACATGATCGTGCAGTCTGCAGCCTGAGGAAACACTGCACGCGCTGGACACAGAGTACTACTGACAGGGCAATGTCAACAAACTGTTTGAGGCTCGCTTAGGCTTACATGAATGGAAAACAAAATCACTGATATCAACGTTTAACATGACTTCTATTTCAAGATAAATACAATAAAACTGATAGGCTTATAAGAAATCTAGAAGCAACGTGTTCTTCTATACAGTATGACTTTATTTTTCAACCTATATCGATTTATTTTTCAGTTTTCTTCTAGATGGCGAAATATTCTTCTAAATGCACATTTTCGTTATTGTTGTTTTTTAACTGGACAAAAGGTGGAAGTACTCTCGATTTCCAAAGAATGAAGATAAAACAATTGCGCATTGTCACTAGAATAAAAAACCTGAATTCTCACTCATAACATTTTCTCTGTCAGTACATCTAAAACATGGCCTGCGTTTTTAATTTACAAATGCTGAGGCATGCAAATTTTTCTCAACGGAAACTCCGCCATGTCTCAGACAGCATCTTTACTACACACTGAATGAGTAAACTGATGAATGAGCGTCCTGAATGAAGACATCACTGGAAAACACAACTGGAGGAATACAAGTAGACCAAACGTAAAATCCAAATTTATGTAGAAAAATGACTTTCTACATTTATACATTAAAATACTGCTGTCTAATGTCCAGTGTCTTACCATCATAAAAGTCAAAATGCAAAATATGTTTCCTCAACAAACGCAACACAAACTTTTGGATCGATCCCTGTAATCCCAGAAACAACTTGGGTAACTATAGTGATGCTCCGCGTCCTCGTTAAAAATTAATTCGATTTACAACAAAATAAAAAAATTATCATAGTTTTAAAATGTTATTTTATCTAGTCCATAGAGTTTGAGTTTTCTTCGAATTACAGCCTCCTTTTATACGAGTAAAGTTATGCAAGATTTGAGGCCCCCGGAATGTCATTGGATGTTAGGATGAGGTATTATAGATTATGGGTTGGGGAAGGGATGGTGGGGGTACTACAAGCACCTCCCCTAGAAATGCAGCAAATCTCTCCCGTTTTCTCCTGGTGGGGCACTGGGAGGGCTGGAGACGTGCTTTGCATTGGCAGGCTGATGAGGACACGTGTCTCCTCCCTGCCTCCCCCCCCCCTGGGCTCCACGGTACCGCATTGGCATCAGTAAAGGCACCTGAAAGCCGACAACCGACTCCTGGAAAAGCTGGCTGCAACCTTATAACCTGAAAGACAGCGATATTATAGCCCCTACAGAAACCTGTGGCTCGCCTTTTTTCGTGCGTAAAGCTTTTGCGCACACCGCCAAACTGCCTCAGAGACTAAAGGTGCGCTACTCGTCTATCACAGAGCGCAGTCCCAAAATGCAGAAACGGAGCAGCGACTTCTGAAGGTGACATGAACCTCGTGCTAATCAAGAGCAGCAGGCGATCACTGAGCAAGAAGTGGAGATAGCAACTGAAAACCACCGGTGTCTTGAAACTAAACTTGTGGTTTTTTTTTTCCGCGTGGCTTTATCTGATGCAGAGAACCAAGAGCTGCCACCCAAAGTAGCCTAACATTTTTACTGTCTGGACGAGAAAAACACTAATTTAACTGCAGCAAGATCCAGGAGAGGAGTGAAAATGGCGACGTTAATCAAAAGCAAGCTTTCTAATAAACTGTCAAATGCAGCCACCACTGTCAGCAACAAATCCCAGGCGAAGGTGAGCGGCATGTTCGCCAGGATGGGCTTCCAGGCCGCCACCGACGAGGAGGGTCTGGGATTTGCCGCCTGCGATGACCTGGACTACGACCACCGGCAGGGCATGCAGATGGACATTATGACAAGCGAAGAGATGGGAGGAGAGGGAGCCGGAGACGGAGGCGCGCTGGAGGGGGACAGCCACTACCAGAGGGACGGCACCGGTCCGCCGCACTCAGCTTCAAAAGACGGAGGTCTTACGGACGAGCTGGCTGAAGTCAGACCAAAAATCACCGCTTGGGAGGCGGGCTGGAACGTCACGAATGCAATCCAGGTAAAGACGCCATGCACAGGCTGGAAACGGGCGGGTCCGGTGCTCTGTTCTAATTGGCCGTGTGCCTCAGTGAAATTCGAGAACAACGCACACCTGCGCCTACATAAAGTCTTCATAAAATATTCCTAACAAAAGCAACAAGGTTTTTCTCCCCTTGGAAGCAACTGTATTCAGTTTGCTGTTTTAATAAACATGCATCATATATCAGCATTTATAAAGTGTTGCTAACGACTACATTTTTTTTAACACACAACTGACTTTTATTCAAATGTATTTTGATTGGAGTAGTGCAGATTTCAGAGCATCTAAGGCGGTACAATGCGCTGAAAAAAAGGGAGGTAGTTGATGCCCTGTGCCCACCGCCCCCCCCCCCCCTCTCTCTCTCTTTCCCCCTCCACTTCATTACACACATTCTTTGTCTGCAGGTATATGTCCAATGTCATCGATGCCTTTGCCTGATAAGCGCTCAACTAGCAATAAACACGACAATGAATACAAGACTAAGGAATTACACCATCAATTAGTAGATTTTGAAAGGAGATAAAGTATAAGCTATGTTTCAATAATTTTGGACCCCTTTTGGGATTCTTTGTAAACATTTAAGGCTATAATTTTAAGATTTTGAAATAGCTTTTTATAGCTGGACACATGGGCATGTATATTTTTTCGCAAGAGAAGGGTCATGTATAGTCCAATACTGTTTTGTGAAATGCATTCGCAGAGATAATTGAGCAACAGAAAACATTTTTTTACGCATGACAAATTGCGCACAGGGAGCGAACTATGCGTGTAGTTAATTTGTGCAAAGGTGAGTGTGTGTGATATGAAAAGAGGCCTGCCATCATTTGGAGCGCAAGGATTTACTCGAGAGAGAGGAGTCCCTGGTGTGTAGGCTATGCGACAAAAAATCCCTAGACGCAATCCTTTCATGCCTTATCACGGCTGTTGTCACGGCAATCGCTGTGACGTAAGAGTGTGTCTCCTCCAGCTTTTCGTGACGTCAGAGGCGGGCGGAGGCGCTCAAAGCAAAGTGGAAAACCCACAACATGAAACGGGAGTGTCATCCTCTACTGACGAGTCAAAGCCAAAGTTTAAATACGATGAGAATTACAATAAAACGTTACATATTTGGAAATTAATAAGGAATGATTACTAAATGGTCAGATTCTTACACTCTGCTTCATTCATAGTGTGTTGTACCCTCTTTTTAATGTTTCTAGGGGATGTTCGTTCTTGGGTTGCCCTACGCCATCCTGCATGGAGGATACCTCGGACTCTTTCTCATTATTTTCGCCGCCGTGGTGTGCTGCTACACGGGGAAAATCCTCATCTCCTGCCTGTACGAGGAGGACGAAGATGGGCAGCTGGTCCGTGTGAGGGACTCCTATGTGGACATTGCCAACGCCTGCTGCCAGCCCAGGTTCCCGGCTTTAGGTGGCCATATCGTGAATGTAGCCCAAATCATAGAACTGGTGATGACTTGCATCCTGTATGTTGTGGTCAGTGGAAACCTTATGTACAACAGCTTCCCCAACATGCCCATCTCCCAGAAGTCCTGGGCCATCATCGCCACCGCTGCTTTGCTACCCTGCGCCTTCCTCAAGAACCTGAAAGCCGTCTCCAAGTTCAGCTTGCTGTGCACGATAGCCCACTTTATCATCAACGTCCTGGTGATCGCATACTGCCTCTCCAGAGCGCGGGACTGGGCCTGGGACAAGGTTAAGTTTTACATCGATGTTAAGAAGTTCCCCATCTCCATTGGGATTATCGTGTTCAGCTACACCTCGCAGATCTTCCTGCCGTCACTGGAGGGAAACATGCAGAAACCTAGCGAGTTCCATTGCATGATGAACTGGACTCACATTGCTGCCTGCATCCTTAAGGGCCTCTTCGCCCTCGTAGCCTACCTGACCTGGGCCGACGCAACCAAGGAGGTCATCACAGACAACCTGCCCCCCGGAATTCGAGCCGTTGTCAACCTCTTCCTCGTGTCCAAAGCTTTGCTGTCGTATCCGCTGCCGTTTTTCGCTGCCGTAGAGGTATTAGAGAAATCGTTTTTCCAGGAAGGGGGACGCTCGTACTTCCCAGATTGCTACGGAGGCGATGGACGCCTAAAGTCCTGGGGACTCAGTCTCCGGTGTGGCCTTGTCGTTTTCACCTTGCTTATGGCCATCTATGTGCCCCATTTCGCCCTCCTCATGGGTCTCACCGGCAGTCTGACGGGTGCAGGCCTCTGCTTTCTGCTTCCCAGTCTTTTCCACCTCAAGCTTTTGTGGAGAAAGCTGCAATGGCACCAGGTTTTCTTTGACGTCTCCATCTTCGTAATAGGAGGTATATGCAGCATATCTGGTTTTATCCACTCCACGGAGGGGCTCATAGAGGCTTTCAATAATGGCGTAGAAGAGTAGATTCAAGCCATTGTCGGAAATAGATGTTAACTGCAACTCCCCATTTAGTGAAAACATAAAGTCACGACTTTGCAGCAAGCGCAGCCCCCCTTTCTGCTTAAACCATGCGTAAAAGCACGCACAGACCACATTTACGCACATCTACAGTCTACAGCATCATTTAAGACACACACACACACACACACACACACACACACACACACACACACACACACACACACACACACACACACACACACACACACAAATGGAACCGGTGGCAGCAAAGGAATCTACCACAACACACTATATGGACAGTTCATGTTGTATAAATATGCGAACAAACGTACATAAAGATATTTTGCAGTGGAGTGAACGTTTACAATATCAACCTAAACGAAGTTAGCAAGAAGGGCAGTTAGTCTTTTCGTCGCTCTTGTGGTGCTTCCCCACATGAGACTTCACTTAATGTCAAGCTCGAGTTAATGATGGACAGATATTAGACGGCATAATGGGATTTAATTAGGATTTAGATGTTCATTTCAAATGGAAATTTTGAAAAATAAAATACAAAATGCCACCCTATTCTTCTAAATGTTATTTGAAATATGATTAAGGGCAATGAATGTGGTGTTCAATTCAGACATGAAGAAAAAAAAAACAATTGCAATAACCAGCAGAAATGCATCTTGACGTGTGTTAAGAATAGCGAAGTTTCGATAGAAATGAGAAAATTGGACCTTCCCCGAGCAGTTTAAAATACTGAAAATGCAAAATATCAAAGTTCACAGCAGCAGCTATTCAAACTATGCATTGAATGTATGATATTTGAGACACACAAAACAATGAAACTGGGAAGCAGAAAATACAAAATGAATTATTTCGATTATTCTGCGTGAAAGTGTTAAATCTTTGATGTTTCTTTTCCAATATTTAAATTTATTTTATGAAGCTCTTAAATCGGCAATAATGTAATCCAAAAGAAACCTCCTCACATCTTGGCCGAAATATCAGCTATAGACGGGGACCCCTAATTGAAATCGTGCGCACTCAATTACCCATAATGCTTTCCATTACATTAGAAAAAAACATGGCCTGTTCTGAAATTAATTTGAAAGACTCAAGTGTCGCAAATTCGATGTCTGAAAATCTGAAAAGAGATCCTTAAAGAGGAAAATGTGCATACAGACATTTCTCATTCTGTGCAATGCAATGGGTCCTGTGGAAGTGTTATAAAAACCGTATGTGTAGTGTGTTATTGTGGTTTCAAAAAGATGGAATGTATATCTCAAAGTCGTTATCATATATCGTGAAATTAATATTAAAGAATAAAGACATAAGTGAAATTATAATGTAAAAATGTGTGTGGTTTTATGTAAAACGACAAACGGTCAGAACATGTATTTTTTTCTCTCTATAATAAAATACAGAAAATGTTGGAGAAAAAAGTGGCATTCATTTTTATTCTGTTAAATTCGAAATTGAGGTTAAGTGACAACCAGCAAAAGGCCTTGGAGGGGAGGGGGGGGATCATACCACGAGTCTCTGTTGGTGTCTGAGAGGAAGCGATGGAGGTCGACACAGGCCTATTGTCTACACATAATCCCATTACAAATCCTGCTGTATTTTCTTTGCAATCATATTTTCCTTTTTTATCTATTGACAATTAAAAGTATGAGTATTCTCCATCGGGCCTTGCAAAGCTACATGCTCTAATAAAGAGCATAAAGACAGATTATGTGCTGCAGGCATCAGGCCTTATGCTCGACCTGTTCATCCACTGTGTTGATTTTATGCTGCGCAACATCTGGACGTTTCGTTTATCCTGCGAGTGGGCAAATCCTCCAGCTGTTGAAAATTCAAACTACCTGGTGCGTACCGATTAACCACCTACTTAAACTATCAGCAGCCATAAAGGCTCAATTCAAAGCACCGAAAAGAGATTTTAATTTCCAAGGTGATCACAGGATAACATGTGAAGAGGTCAAACTGAACATTTAAATTCATATTTTTCAATAATATGGCTTTAGGCCCAAAACCTTATTTGAAGTCATAAAGCATCTTTACTGCATACATCAAACTTAGGTATCAATCAACCAGGGTTGTCCGTAATAGTGAATAAAAAAAACCGGGTTATATTTAAAACGGAATCGTTTTATGTAAATGTGTGAAAGGTGTCCTAACATTAACCAAGTAAAAGATGAATCTCCTGCTGTACTCATCGCCATGATTTTTACTAAACATTTTCATGCTTGGAGAGCCCCCTAGTGGACTGGGGAGTAGTTGCTCAAAAGTGAAAAAATGAATTCATCAGGCACGTCTTCACTACTCATCAATGCAGTCATAGAGTAGTTTGAAGTATTTTAGGACACCAAAAATAATGTTAAGACATGCTGCTCTTCATCTTTATCGCCCCCAACAAAACATGACAGGACTCAAATCAAGTAAGTTAGGTCACTGCTTGTGCTTCAAATGAGTTTCTCTCAGCTTTTGTTGGGAGAAAAAAGGGTATTCTATTTTATATGTTTATTGGTAAGGTATGATTTGTGTGTATAGAGTGCATAGCACTGAAAGCTGTTAGTAGGGCTCATGCATGTTAATGGGATGGAAAAAATTACAAGGAAAACCCTCAAATTTAGTGCCATACATTAAAACAACAATTAAACTCAGTTTAGTAATAAAGATATCACATTGACACCACTCTGACAGTATTATACACTGTACAGAAGTGTTTCTGTTCAGGCAGAATTCTGTGCAGACAGGCTCCATTTGATCAAGCTACTAATATACAAGTGAGATGACTGATGAGTAATTACTATACGAGTTTATACATTTGAGTTTCTGTTTACTTAATATGAGGCATATTTACTTTCAATATTTTATTTGAGCAGAAATTCATGATATGAAACAGAATTATAAACAGTGACAGTAGAATTTAACTCTAAAGCGGTAACATGCTCCCAATTCAGCGTTAGTGGTTCACTGGCGCCCACTGCTGGCCACACAGGACAGGAGGTGGATCATAAAACAATGTTCATCTCGCTCATTGGACATCAGTGCAAAGTCTCATTTCGCAAGAACTTGAGAGCTCGAAATGTACACAAGATAAAATACTTTTCACTGACAGGAATAAAACAGCTTATTTTCAACATGACACTCCACGAAAGACAAATTACTTTTTATTCAAGTAATGGAGTTTCTGAAAACACCAATAAAACTTTCATAATTATACAAAGACAGTGAAATATTTACAGGCAATTGATGCCATTGGTAAGAAAGGAACTCACAAAAGGATAAGTAGATTAAAGATGTGAAAAAGGTATCCAAGTGGCCCACAGAGAAGGACATCCCCATGAAGTGAATCTATAGTCTGAGTAGTAGTAGAGCAGATTCAGAGACATCAGCTGTACACTGACATTAATGTGTTCACCTTTGTACAGATGGACTCCGCATGGCCTCACAGATGCACATGAAGCCCTCTAATGATGGAGTGAGGGGGAAACAATAACGCTCATTGGATTGGCTCTTCGTTGCTCAGGGTTGTGGGCTTTTTAGTTGAGGTCTCAACCACCCAAGGGTGGGACAGGACACCCTGGATGGGCAGTCTTTGCATGGGGCTGTGCTTCAGCAGCTTGGCAACTAAGTCTTTAGCACCAGCACTGATATTGGATTGTGCAGGGTAGGTATACTCCACCTGGAGGGGAAAGCCAGAAAAATCAGTGCAAGGCTCAACTGTAGTGCAAACACGAAGGTGGGAAGAAAAACTGACAAGTACTGGAAATGTAAAGGTTTAGGATACACGTATCTTTATTACCATTACTCATTTTATTCTGCATTAAAACGATAAAAAGAATACACACTATTATATTATATAATTTTGGGAATATCTAGTTATCCAATGCTTACCCTCGATATTCTACGGTAGGTTTCATCATGAGATTTGGCCTCAAATGGGGGTTTTCCGACTAGGAACTCATAGCACAGCACACCCAGACTCCAGAGGTCTACCTTTTCATCATGAGTTTTTCCCTCAATCATCTCTGGAGGCAAGTAGTCAAGAGTTCCACACAGTGTGGACCTCCTAAAAAAATAAAAAAAGAATGGTTGGGAAGTCAGATTCATGCCAGACACAGAAAGGGTAAAGAGAAGTGTGTACAAACAAGCAAAGAATTCAAGAATAGTTCATGACTTGATTGCCAGACTAGAAAATGACAAATGCTACCCAAAACTAATTTTAACAAATCCTAATGATAACAGTTTTACTGAAAGGCACTACATATACAAAACTTGATTAAAAATAAGAAAAGTATATGCATACCTGGAGGAAGGTGTGTGGACAGACCAGCCAAAATCTGCAATCTTAAGCTCCCCGTTGGCCCCGAGTAACAGGTTCTCTGGCTTGATGTCCCTGTGGATTACCTTCTTGGAGTGGCAATAGGTGAGGGCATCTGCCAGCTCCATGATGTACTAGTACATCAAATAAAAAACAGTCAATACAACTTTCATCAACATGTTTGACCGCATCCTTCATTTTAAAACATTCCAAAAACTCAAAAAGTATACTGAATATCAACTTGTTGGTAGAGTTCAAATACAACAGTTTATATTCATTTTAACTATCACTTAAACTAAATGAATTCACACAAGTGTCGAGGTTGGTCAAATTCCAATTGAGAAGCAAAGTAAACATTTTATTCTTAAAAAAACAACAACAAAAAAACAAACTTACTGTTGCACTTCTTTCCTCGGAAAAACTTCCACAGCGCTGCAGCTCACCGTACAGTTCACCCTTTGGTGCAAACTCAAGGATGAGGTACACCCGAGATGAATCGTGGAAGTAACCATAGAGGCGCAGAATATTGGGGTGCCTGCAGGAAGACGATGCAGACAAGTGGTCTGAGAAATGTTGAAAACTCAGCAAACATTCAATAAAGGACATAAGACCAGAATGACCAAAGTTACTTCTTGTGATATTAATGTCGCTGCCAAATGGGCTGAAACTTTCAAACCAAGACGGACATGAATCACCAGTCATTAACTAAAGCGGAGACATGAAAAGATTTAAAGATGAATCAAGCATGATTCTGCTCATCAATGGAATGTCTGGCTCAAAAAGCTACAAAGAAACACATGTAATGTTCTCCACGCTGTACTGCTCCAAAACATGAGGCACATGGAAAGAGCAGAATAAAGCTCAACTAGCAAACTGAAGGACTTAACACACCAAAAAAAAACACCTCTCATATAGGTAGCTCACTTTGCAAGTCTACTAAAGGTGCATTGCCTGGGACAGTCAGACTGTCATTGTTCTCACTTTCCAGAGATTTCAGTGTACAACTCTATTTGGTGCACATGAAACAAAACATATACACTGCATATAATATCCAAAGGTCTATTGTAGTTTGACCAGTTTTGGATGAATTCAAATAACTTTATCAATAACCAGAAGAAGTTACCTGACTGGTCATTTGAATTACTGTCTGTTCAAATAAAGCAACATTAACTTTGTACTTGATTTAGAAATCAGTAAAAAGTTGATAGAAACTGATGTCTGCGATCTGTAGAAGCCCCCAACTCATAATAAGGATGGCCAAGTAGCAAAACTTCCTCTGCTTAGTCAAACTACAGTCAGGAGTCATATCTGACACAGTAATTTTTCAATTGCGTAACTGGAACAATTCATTACCTGAGGTGAGACTGGATCTCTACTTCTCTCCTGAGCTGGTGCTCCACCCCAGCCTTCTCCAACTGCTTCTTGAAGAGCACCTTCAGGGCCAAGATGAACTTACTCTGCCGCTCTCTGGCCAGATACACATTGCCAAATTTACCCTTTCCCAAGGGACGGCCAATGTCAAAGTTTTCCAAGCTCCATCGCTTACTGCATGAGCAGAAATGTACATTATTACAAAACAACGTTGATTACAAAAGGTTTAATTTTTAAGCTTATGAAAGAAATGTACAATCAGACAAACCTTGCTGCAGAGGCTTTGGCAGAGTCCATCTTGGTTAGTTTGTCTAATAAAAAAGGTGAAAGAATTCATTAGAGACCCCAAAAATACCACACAGACCTTTGCTTTGAATGTATAATTTGGTATTATGCTTACTCTGGGGCTTGTCCTGCTTTGCTGGTTCTGATGGTGCTTTAGCTGGCTCTGGGTTAACTTTGGACAATTCTGTCTTTGGCTGGTTTAGCTGGGGACCACATTTAGGATGTGGTGTAGGATTTCCACTTGGAGTGGCAGGGTTCACATTCTGAGTGTTAAGGTTGGAGGACTTTGCAGTAACAGAGCCATAAGACACTGGTTTCTGATGGCTCACAGGCCTCTGAACACGCTGAGGTCCATTTGACACACCTAGGACACGCTGATGTGAAGCCGGCGTAACCACAGCCATCTGGGACTGCTGGGAGACAGGAATCCGCTTCGGCCCATCACTGACTGACTGCAATTAAAAATGAACAAACAATAAACCGACTATTGGCTTGTTTTCTGATCACCCTCACAACATGAATGCACCGTCCTTTTGTCAAGTCTTAAACCTTGACTTTTGAGTTGTATGTTTGTAATTCTGGCTATGAGTGCCATTTTATTTCATTTATACAACACAAAGTGCTTTGACATGCAAAGAAAGCACCCAAACACAGAAGAACATAAACAACAGCAAAATGCATATTCATAGTTTGGTGTTGGATATTTATTAAAAAGCCTGTACAGTGTGGCAATAATTCAACTTTTAATGACAGGTTGGTCAGCAGTGCTTTCTTCCACCTGTCGATTAAATACTGTAACATGTGCATTACCTTTACTTCTGGCTTTTGAGGTTTTATGTTCTTCGTCAGCTTGAGTCTGGCAATAGAGTCCATATCCTGAAAGAAAGGAAAGTGGAGAATATTATAAACTACTATTACTTATTAAAGCAGCAATTTACAAAAGCAGAGAACAGTGTCATGGGTGTGGGCCATGTTAATCTGGCTACATTGTTTTAAGTGTAAAATAAACCTTCAGATGCAAAGATGTTTAACTTATTAGTGATGCTCCCCTTGTACTTTTAAACACATTACTAAATAAGATTACATCAGTTCATCAGACTGCACAAAGACTTTAGCAACCTTCATGGCGAGGCTAAAGTCTGATAAGTGAAGTTTAGGGCTAACTTCTTATCAGATATAAAACAAAGCAGCTGTAGTTACTTACCTCAATAAGTTGACGGTATTACACGAAGACAGAAAGCAAACCCTGAATTCAAAGAGTGGCTCTGACACAGGAAGCTAACGTGAGCTAGCAGCTACGTCGGTCGATTGACGAGAGCTGGTTTTTGTGACTAACTACATTAATATTCGTTTTTAATGGCGCAGCGAGACAAGGCTTTCGCAATATAACTCCTCCGGAAGCCGGTTCAATGTTTAGAATAGGTAAAATGCAGGTGAATAAGACTGAAAAAAGACCTTAAAGTAATGCAGGTCAAACCCTGAAACGCGGCTGTTTCTCACGTCTCTTCGTAACTGCTTGTTTGAGTTCAAACGTCCCTCCGTTTAAAACCTTTAAACACACCGCAGCCTCTGATTGGCTGAGGGAATGCTCGAGCTCGTCCACCATTGGCTGCTGCGACAGCTCCGGCGTCATAAGACAAATCCTCCAAAACAGCAGAGGGCAGACAAGTGTGAAGAGCTCTGGTGTCAAAAATTAAACGTAAAAAAAAATCTCATGCGAATAGATAAATAGGGGAGATGTTTTTGTTTTGATGTTGGTTTTCTGAACAGTTTTAATGTCTCATGCTCAAAGCAAAAATAAAATAAACTAAATGTGTCAACTCAGCCTGAGTTGCATATATCAAACTGTATTGTGGGCTCATGTTTTTTTTGTATGGGTGGGATATGTATGTATATATGTGTTGTGTTGTGTGTTTGTATGTATGGTGGCTGCTGGAACACCTACATTTCCCTGCTGGGATGATTAAAGTATATCTTATCTTATCTTATCTTTATCATCATATTTTGTTGGACAGAAAGTGTTAACTTCATCTTACCTCGGTTTGGGAAAACACAACTAATAATTAACTCCAAACATTCAATTTAAGGTTGGATATGGATTTATTTATTTATTTATTTTCACCAAAATGACATTTAATAAAATCTTTGCGTATTTCTTCTGGAGATGAAATTGCAAATCAATCAATTGGCCACAGCGTGGCAGCATCTGGCCTTTGCATTTCAACTTGCATCATCTATGTATGAACACCGTAAGAGGAATGCAGTCACCCCTCAAGGCCTTTCATCAGTGGGCAAAGTTCTATAATCCAAAAGTAAAAGCGATTTAAGCATTTTACATATTTCTGAAGAAAAAGTATAATCTGAAAAAGCCTCACTTGATACCTAAAGTACCGAAAAAAAGTCATTAGAAAGAATGAAACATTTGAGAATAATGTAGACAAAACAAGTGATGCAATCCTTTGTCTGCATTTGGTAATGATGGAACTCCTTAATTTACTCTATTCCCTGCAGGATAGCTTAATGCAAAATAACAAATTAAATTAAATTTAATGTAGATTTGAATAAATAGAAAGTTTGCTCACAAGCTTAATTCGAGAAAAGTACACAATACATCAAAATCAGGACTCTAGTTAATAGTTTCACTCACAACTTTAGTTTTAGTGTGTAAACTCTTGACAATATGGGTCAAAATTAACTCTTATTTCCTTTAGCCAACAATGATTTCGACAGAGTACTGGAGAATATTTCATGACTGAAGCAATATAAAAATCAAGCTAATATCGTATTTCAGAAAACATTTTCATCAAGGTCATGTTGCTTCTTGAAATAATTACATTGGATGAATATCAATGTGTGGATAATGATGGAAAAGCTCTTCTGAAACACGTTAAAATACATAACTTTATTGCAACATTTCAGTTAGTGAGACATATTTAACATAGGCACAAAATCTCATTTATTAACTAAGCATCAGATATCACATTTCTCAATACTCAACCACAGTCACAGCTTACTACTTCAAAACCAACCATTTCTCTAAATAAATATTCCTGTAACGTGTAAAAAAAAATAAATTAGAGAAACTTTCCCATGACCATAATGTTGTCTATTACATGAAGAGAAACCTTTTTCATATGCTTATTTTAACCACATCTAACATCTCAAAAACAGTATTACCAAAATATTAAGACTGCTTAGCAACCTCAGAATTGTAGCAGCTTTTCTTTGTTTAAAAATATAACATCTAAAGTGCAAATCAGTGTCACCTGTCCACAGAGAGGACAGGCTGAGAGGTCTTTGTTATAACCGAGAAACTAAAGTCTTGAGTGTTTTGATAAAACTGTTTGAGTCCAGTGAACATGTTCAAGTACGGTATGTAACTGATAGTTCTTACTGCTTTAGTGTCTACACATTGCACTGATTCAAATTAGAGTAACAAAGCATTTGATAAGGTCTCCTTCAAAAACATAAATATGGCAAGTAGCTTGATCCCTTCATTTCACTTAAATATCTCAACAGCATTATTAGTTATCACATTACAACGTAATACAGTTAACATTCAGGCTGACAAACTTTTGCCTGGGACAAAGTGTCTTATTATTACTGAGGTCCCGCAAGAAAACATTGAATAGAAAGCTCTTTTACAGGTATGGCGAAACAGATTAACATGTCATTATTGTCGGCTGTGCTAACCCAAGCTTTTACTCTCCGTCACCTGACACCACCTTCATGTACCCTTGACATGCCACACACTTGACTCCTTCTTTGACATGGCATTGTTGTTTTTAGAACAAGATTATTCCCTTCACAATTAAAGTTTTTAACAACTCTGTCGTTGTCAGCACAGAGAGAGGAGCTAGAGGAGACTTACTGGTGTTCTGATGAAAACACAACTGGCTAAGGTGCTTGAAAGAGGCTGGACAAAAAGTGGGTGTGTCTGCTTTGGCACTTTTTTTTTCTTTTTTTTTTTTTTTCCTCCCCAGGTCACCCAGTGGTTCTGCTACCTTTTGACAAAGTTACATGTTTCCAAACACAGTTAATAGTGGTGTTTAAACTTGTCCCTGAGCTTGCTTTCTTTATTTTTTCCCCCCAAAGTTACTTAGTCGGTGCAGTCCTGCGAGGCAGCATGCACTGAAAACACTCCATAGAATCGTTTTATATTCAGTCTGCTATTAAAATATATATCTAATGTAGATAGTAAAGTTTATGAGATGAATGAAGTTTTACCCTCACATAATACAAAATCTCTAGAGCACCAAAACAGCACCAGAGCATCACAAAGCGATGCTGCTTGTACCGGCAGGTTGTTTCTCTCAGACTCTGCTGGACAAGAGAGGCGGGCTGTCATTTCTCAGTGACAGCAGCAGCAGCCATGGGGGTGCGTATGGTCGTGCGTGCTGTTGCTGCCAGCTCCTCGATTTCTGCGTTCAGTCGTCGGATCACCCACTCCATGGCTTCACGACCCTGAATAAAAACAAAAAAGGAATTAGTCAACAGAAGGGGATAAAAAAAAAAAAAAAGGAATAACATCAAGTTTTATTCAAAGAAAGGAAGTATGGCAATGTTTTATTTTGCATCCTGCAGTTTTTTTTTTACTATCCATTTATCTCTTTTCTTAGTATATGCTCTACCTGCTCTCTGCACTTTAAGGGTTCTTTTGCTGTAAATGTGGATTTAAGTTACTTCACAATTGTTTTCATGCTTAAGTCTACTAATAGCTCGGGAAGCTGTGTAGGAATGTGTTTCAAAGGTCTTTGCTAGAATGTACAGTTGAGACTGTGTTTACTAGCAACAGGCATTACATTGTGACTGTACTCATGATGTTACAGCACACTTGCTTTGAGCATCTCCGCCATGAGAAAGAACAAAGACATCGTCTTTGGGAACACATATCAGGTGCTCCCACATTTCTCTCCTTTAAATCCAAGGTTTTGTGTAATACTCTTGTGAAATATTTTATACTTTTCCCCTTAGGGCCTGAAAATCCATTACTTTTAACCGAAGTATAAAAGAGAAAAACTCTACGGTTATACAGAACTTCTCAACCCAGATATAAAATACAAAAAAAGGCAGCCAGTAGACATTGCTTAATTTGAAGAGATCACAAGTTAAAAAGGCTAGGAACTACAAGTGCAGTAATTACATAAAGCACATTGTTGCATCATCAGCAGTAAATTAGGATACATTATAAGATATGGCTTTGGGTTGAGATATGAAAGTGGACGATATGGTGCCACTCTGCCATGTTTTTTTTTTTTTTTTAAGTGAGGCAGACAAATAATATGTTTTACGAGATGTTTAGATCAACATTTGTCCTACTAAAACTCACTACAGACACATGTGTTACTAAAAAAAGACATTTCTAACAGATGTCTTACCTTCCCAGCGTTGGAAGAGATGGTGCTGCCATTACTCCCTCGAGGTAACTGTTGAGACTGACTCCTTTCACTGAGATGATAGCTTCCTGAGTCAGTATCGTCCTAGAGTTGAGGTGGGTTAAAAACAATCAGTGTTAAAGTCTTATTTAGAAATGAATTATTAAAGTTATTTAAAATCCTTTCCAATAGAAATGAAACACAACTTACTTTTCTTTATCCTCAGGGTGTGGCTTGTATGTTAACTTCTCATCCACAGACACCATGTTTGTGAAAGTGATCTATAGAGGAAACATTAGAAATTTATGTTAAGATATACAGTAGTCAGAGTGAGAGCATGTGAACGCAGCACAATGTGTGTTCATTGTTGAGCTGAGAGTTATTGGCCTGTAGGACAAGCTAGACTTCATTCCAGAGACATCTCACTGTTTAACACACACAGCTGTGTGTGGGTACAACTCGGGCGCGTTGTGTCATAAAGACTCACATTTGTTGACTGAAGTTCAAAAGTCTTCTCTTTGGGATCCACAACAGAGTGCTCCTGAACGTATGTGTACGTCCTTGCGTTCCCAATTATCTGAAGAAAAAAGACAAGACATGCACAATATTACAAACTCAAGTAAACAGCAAACTTCATTTTCATTCAGTCATTCCTTTTAACAATTTGTGCATTTATTTTATAATTTCAGCCTACTCTGTGCTTGATCTATCCCACCAAAAATGATTACGAGACATAAAGCTTCATGCCCACAAACACTGTAAACAAATCGTGTTTTGACTTTGTCTTAAATTCTGTTGAAAACATTGTTACTTAATCTAGTGTTTTTAATGTAAACAAAGAGAAGACGCCAAAGATTACAGTTGAATTATAAGCTTCTTGAAGCGGACCATTTGGGAAAGGAGGCTTTCTGTAGCTTAGTACAGCCAAATATTAAATGTATGAACAGTGGAAATAAAGACTGAAATCTGTATGAACCTGAAGTTCCAACCAACCTCACAAGTGCTCCAATAAATAAAGTGATTATTTTGTTGTGCTTTTTAACATAAAAACCCAAATTAATTAATTTCAATTAATTGTCAAGTTAAATAAAAAGGTAAGCCTAATGACCTTTTTCTTTTTTTTAGAGTTCAGGGTATACCAACAGGAAGACGACATCCTGATGCATCCAGTTAATACCCAGTTCACCTAGGCTTGGGATTGACTAGATTAGAGACAATCTAATTAAGGCTTGGGTTACTATGCTATCAATCACAGGGACACTCTGTGTCATAGACTGCCCTTTGAATTAAGGGGCTATTCATGGCTATGGCCTCCAACTACAACCTTATCCTTAAAACATCTGAACCAGGGTCAATGCCAAAGAAGAGCTGCTGATTTGCCAATGTCTACACAGGTTGGAAGCAGAATAGTATCTCTACCAGGTCACATCATTTATGAGCTCAGAGCAAAAGAAGGAGAAAAGTTCACGTGACATGTTGCAGACATTCAGAGCCTCTGTAACTAGTGACCTCTAGTTTCAACCCGAGCAGACAGCTATGGAAAGTTACATCATGCAGTCAGGGGTTGCATCCAAGCAATGATAGAAATGGCACTACCGTGTCCCGTACAACACGAGCCGTGGAGCAGGGCCATAAAATGGCCTGGGCTATAGTAAGCCACCAGGTCTGCTGCCTCTACCCTGTGGACAGAAATAGCCTTGCAAGGTTAAGGTCCCGCTCACTGGCTGGCTGGAAAGCACTAACCTTATCACTGATATATGACTAGGCAGGTCATACTGCTTTCATTAAGCAACTTCCAAGGTTGAGCAACCAAACACAATCACAAACTTTCTATTGCGTTTGTCCATTGAGAGTCACATGTGTTTCCAAGGTGTTTAACCACAAGTTAGTAGCAGCTAAATATTTCACAATGAAGCTAGACTGCAGAGTAATACTGCTGATATGGTTTAAAACTCACAGATTTCACTATAGAAGGAAGACCCCACTCTGTGCCGAGTAATCTTCTACTGTGGAGGCGTCCCTGTTTGTCAATGCCTCTGTCCAACACATCCACTCCAATCACATTAGGGTTCATGGGGTTGGGGTATTTCTGCATAGCAGCTTTGGTCACCGTCTCCCAAGGATGGCTGCAGAAGAAAAGGCAAATATGAATATAATTGCAACGATTGACTTTGTGATTGCCAGCTACAGTATAGATATGACAAATCGCTTTATAAGACAAGGAAAACAGAAATGTTGTAACTGAATTGAATCGTTAGACTTGGGTTTCAGTGACTTTGAGCGTTTGAGTGGAAATAGCGTCTTTGGTGGTAGATGTATTTTCTGCAGTGAATATTGGTTTTATGGAGGAAGTGTTAATTGAAAGCTGTAGATACGTTTCCTATAAAATGTGTTACGCCAGTGAACGAGTGCCCACGTCAAGTTGTTCCAAGCCAAGTCTAATTTAGCCACAATAATAGGATACATTGGGGCGCTGGTGGAACAGTGGTTAGTGAGCGTGCCCCATGTACGGAGGCTATAGTCTTCCAAGCGGGCGCCCAGGTTCGAATCCAGCCTGTGGCTTCCCTCCCACATGTCACTCCCTGATTTCTGACTCTATCCACTGTCCTGTCTCTACATTAAAAGGCCCAGAAAGCCCAGAAATAAATCTTAATAGAAAAAATAGGATACATTTATTTTTCACAACAGTTTGTAAGAGATGCTGTACAAGTACAATGTGGCTCAGTCGATGGTCGAAGGTAGCGTTAATGGTTGCCACGGAGACGCATGAACACGCAATGAGTGATCTTTGCGCAGTGACGCAGGCAGACGCGGCGGCAAGATGTAGGGGAAAGGTCGCACGCTGGGGGCTGATCCCGACCGGCGGATTATGCAATACGACAGCTTTTTACGTTTAATGGTTAACTGTATGATGTACATCACTGATATCTCGTGTGCCTTCTTTCATGCATCCTCGCTAAAACGCTAAGTTATGGATATCCGCGTATTTAAGTTCAGGTGAACAGCTTGAACCAGACACTGAACCTCTCATAGACTCATAACACATCAGCAGATTAAAGACAAATTGCCTTCTAAGAAACGCCACTTACTTGAATACGTGCTCTGACGTCCAGATCTTCATGGTTTTTAATATGTTGGTTGACAGAGGCTACTGATACTGAAGAGTCGAGGAGTGGATAAGCCAGCAGGCAGGCACACAATCGCACTGAATGAAATGTGTGAACCACGTTCAAAGACACCCACTCAGCCTCCTCCCTCTTACCCAGAGAGGTCACATGAGTAGTGTTAGTGACGTACTTCCTCGAGTGAGAAAATGCCGCATGAGTGCTGCCAGACACTGAAGACATCTAGAAAACAACGTTTTATTTAATTGAGTTAGAGTGAGGAAAAAAATAAAAGACAACCGAAAATGACATCGTGGTTCACTGTACTGTGAAACACGATGCATTCATATTCAGCTGTTTATTCAGGCCGTGTGATTTCGTCCATTTAACCTTCGGTGTGGCACAAGTCAGCTGAGTGAAGGTTGACAGTTTTTCTGCAACCTTGGTATACTGAATGAGAAGACCAAGAAGAAACAAGTCATTGATCAAATGTTCATGCAATTCATGTCGATATTGCACATATCTCATGTTTGTTTTTTTGTTTTTTAAAGCTATTACAACTTGCCGGTGTATGGTATTATTTATATGACAAGTTACATAATCAACCCTGAAATACTTTGAAACATGTTCAACTACAGGATGGGAAATACAGTACATTTGAGAGGTGTTTGCATTATGAATATGAAAGGATTGGACATACATTTGAGAGGTGTTTGCATTATAAATATGAAAGGATTGGACATACATTTGAGAGGTGTTTGCATTATAAATATGAAAGGAAGAGACACAAAAATGTGTTTCAATGAAAGAAGATTTAGGCTAATATCTGTTTATTAGTAATAACTTCAGGCCCACTGAATACAATTGAACATTTTCCTACTTCTACATTCCTGATTGAATGTACCCTCATGTTGAACAGTGTCAAGGTGACGCAGGTAAAAAAAAAAAAAAAAAAAGAAGCATACATTATCTGTTAACTTTTGGAGCTACTGGTCTATCTGACTGTTAAGTAAGAGCTTGCTTCTTGACCTCATTGCAACCTTTGGAACTTCAAGCACATGGTCTGTGTGAGGCAATAAACTGTTACTGTCACCATAACCTATATCCACGTGTGTGTTACATGCAGTGTTGTCTCCTTTATCCCTGTTTATGAGCGTCTTCAATATGATTTGCAGCAGTGCAGCTGAGGCAAGGCCATGCCGTGTACTTATCTCAGAGTGCAGACACTCTGGCCTAGTCATGTGTAATCTCTATGTCCCAGATTCTTAAGAACATGTGGAAACTGTGACAGGCTTCAACCATGTCACTGTCACTGTGCTGTCACAGACCTGTCCATCACTGCAGCTAAGTTTAGTTTCATTCCTGTTTAACTTCAAATGATAAAACAAGATGAGAAGGGTAGTATTGGGTCCTTATACTATTTTGAGCTTATGCAAAAATGACAATGCAAAATTGACTGTTGAAAAAATCCAATATTTTAACCATCAAAATGTAATTTATAGGGTTGTAACATATGTTAAATAAAGCTAGTGTGATTTTTTTTTTCATTTGCCATTTTTTACAAACATTTCAATAATCTTCAAATACATACAATAAAACAGAAAAATGTAATCCAGAAAAAAACAACAACACACAGGGCGACCCATTGAAAATTAGATCAAATACATAAAGCACCTTGTTCAAGTTTCACATCTTTTATCAAGTAAAAGCTATTTAAATCAAATTATAGCATCTATTGAATTAAAAATGAGGAGTTCCTCTGCAGACCATCAATAACACATGCCTTCATCATTCCTTCAACTATGTGTCAAATCATCTATCTTGTATGCCTTCTTACTCTGCGGTTTCGTTGGTTGTTTCCGACACTGTCTCCAGTTTAACCTCCATCCGAGACTCAACCTGCGTTGTCACTTTTGATGACGGTCCCTCGTCTTCTTCGTCCTCTGCTTCCAAATCTTGATCAGCAGTGGCATCTTGGTACTGCTGGTACTCTGACACCAGGTCATTGAGGTTATTCTCGGCCTCTGTGAACTCCATTTCATCCATACCTTCCCCCGTGTACCAGTGGAGAAAAGCCTTTCGTCTGAACATCAATGAAAACTGCTCGCCTACCCGGCGGAATATCTCCTGAATGGCCGTGTTATTGCCAATGAAAGTGGAGGCCATTTTGAGGCCTCGGGGTGGGATGTCACACACGGCAACCTTGACATTATGGGGGATCCAGTCGACAAAGTGGTTGGAGTTTTTCTGCTGGATTGCAAGCATCTGCTCATCTACCTCTCTGGTAGACATCCTGCCACGGAAGATACCAGCAACAGTGAGGTAGCGCCCACGCCTTGGGTCACATGCTGTCATCATGTTGCGGGGATCAAACATCTGCTGAGTGAGCTCGGGCACTGTGAGGGCTCTATACTGTGTGCTTCTACGGGCCGTCAGTGGGGCAAAGCCTGGCATGAAGAAGTGGAGGCGAGGGAAAGGAACCATGTTGACAGCTAGCTTCCTCAGGTCAGCGTTGAGCTGTCCAGGAAATCTCAAAGACGTCGTTACCCCACTCATCGTCATGGAGACCAAGTGGTTGAGGTCCCCGTAAGTTGGTGTAGTCAGTTTAAGCGTGCGGAAACAGATGTCATAGAGGGCTTCATTGTCGATGCAGAAGGTCTCGTCTGTGTTCTCCAGGAGCTGATGGACCGACAGGGTGGCGTTGTATGGCTCCACCACCGTGTCAGAGACTTTAGGGGATGGCATGATGCTGAAGGTGTTCATGATGCGGTCCGGATACTCCTCTCGGATCTTGTTGATGAGAAGGGTTCCCATGCCGGAGCCAGTGCCACCCCCTAAGGAGTGAACAAACTGGAAGCCCTGCAGGCAATCACAGCTTTCACTCTCATTTCTCACTCGGTCTATAACTTGCTCCACAAGTTCTGCTCCCTCTGTGTAGTGGCCCTTAGCCCAATTATTCCCAGCTCCTGAGTTACCTGGAACACCAAAATAATAGTTTGTTGGTGAATCTAAATCTATCAATTGCCAAAAGAAATGGTCATGGGGACATACAATCCCTCTTATAATGATATAAAACACAACAGTTACACCACATCCTTATAGATGGAACTCTACAATACTTAAGAATCTCAGGGCTGTCAAGACTGAGTTTGATTGTTTATCCATGTTTCTATGAATATGTCACCACTTTTCTTTGGTTAAATATGTGCAACTTCAATTAAGGTAATGTTTTCAAAGTCTTACATCATTCATTTTTAGTCCCTCAGATTTATGAAATATTTGATTTGTTACTTTCATATTAGGAAGTCAAATGAAATATATCCATTTTCACTTAATACCAAAATGAGTAATACATGGAGGATTTAATTATACAGCAATTGAATGGCATTTCTTTAAAAAGCAGCAGATGGGGCACTGGTAGTGCAGTGGTTAGTGCGCGTGCCCCATGTAAGGAGGTTGTAGCCCTCCAAGCGGGCGGCCCAGGTTCAAATCCAACCTGTGGCTCCTTTCCCACTCTCTCTCTACCTGATTTCTAACTCTATCCACTGTCCTGTCTTTCCAATAAAGGCAGAAAATGCACAAAACTAAATCTTAAAAAAATATATATCTATAGCCTTGGAATAAAAGGAATCTTCCATGTCTTATTTGCTCTTGTAGGTATGCTTGGGCCTTTTTACATTCAGAAAGATTTATATTTGATTTCATTAAGGTTGGACCAATCATAACAGTTAAACTTATATTGGGGCGGGTTTGATACTTTTCACTAATGAGGCTTTTTTGTGAACCATTAAGAAGTCTGCAGGAGATGTAAAACATTCAGTATCTCCTATTGCACATTAAATACAAAATGTGTAGTATACAAATCGCTTTTATATTATGTTGACCTAGCTTAATGAAATCAATTTTGGAACCAGTTACCTTGCAGTCATACATCCAACAATGTGTTGGTCTGATCTATTAGTGGCGCTACCGCAGATCTTCCATTCCATCTGCAGTCAGACTGTTCAATCAGACTCTTTAACAGCATCACCACCTCATAACTCAAATCAATAATGCTACACACTGTGTGTGTTTTTAATTAATAATAAATATTTCCACAAGTGGAAGTGTACATACCTGGTATTATTCTATTATTGTATTTTTTCTCCCTGATGTACATATGTTGGATTTTTAACTTCTTGTTATTTTTATAATTATATTCCTGTTTCCTGTTTTCTTGAGATGTTGTAACGAAAAAAAAATCCCCATGGGGGATCAATAAAGTTTATCTTTATCTTTATCTTTATCCAATTGTGTCAAAACGCATTTTAGTCTGTGCTAAAGAATTTTCCGAGATGCACTTGAAAATGTATTTGACAATGCTCTACTTAATATTACTGTACCATGAATGTTTATAGGTTAGAAGTGACTTTTCTTTACTTTTCCACACTATAATAAAAAATAATCTATATTCACCCACAAAAAAGCAGGGCAGTCCGAGTAAAAATGTTCCAGTATGAATTTCACATTTTCTTACCGTGGATAAAGTTGTCTGGTCTGAAAAGGGCCCCAATGCGACTTCCTCGTACACTATCCATTGTACCAGGCTCCAAGTCAACAAGCAGGGCCCTGGGGACATATTTACCACCTGCAAACATAATGAAAATAGTATTAATATAGCTGCTAAATAGGCATGCTGAAGTCAACTTTATCTTAAATTTGGTGTCAAATTTTGAGAACAGTCAATAAGAAAAGGAATAATTTGGTAATCAGCAATGATTTCTTTATGGTCATGACATCAACTGAATAAGAAATAAAGAAAAATGAAGCTACTAATGAACATTTTGAAGTTGATATAGAGTAATATCTTTTTTACCATGTGCCTCGTTGAAGTAGACGTTGACCCTCTCCAGTTGGAGGGCACTGTCTCCCTCATAGTTGCCTGTAGCATTGAGTCCATGTTCTTCACCAATCACTTCCCAAAACTAGAAAGACAAAGGCGAAATAAAATTGAAGAAAATAAGTTAGGTTTGTTGAAAGACGTTATTTGTAGCAAAACTTTATTAACATTAGTATTTAAATGAATGTAAATTCAGCAAGAAATTGAAGACCCAGGCAATATTTCCATCCAGCAGCTCACACCTTGATGGTTGCTTTTTCA